TAATTCGTTAAACCTCCCATATGTGTTATTTGGCGAGTTTAATACAATATTATCTAGTCAGGAAAAAATGGCAGTGACCGGTTCAACCATTCAGTAGCGATACCTCTTTCCGATTTCATTGACGATCTCATATTAGTGGACATTGGTTTCAGTGGCCCTCCTTTCACTTGCTCTAATCATCGATCTGGTAATTTATTGGTGAAAACCTTATTGGATCGTGTCCTTTTATTGGTAGATGCTATTGCTTGTTTTCCCAATTCTTTGATCACTCATTTATCAGACGTTGGGTCTGATCACCGGATGGTTTTGTGGTCTTGGCGACGAAGGACCTCTAAGGCCAAAATATTGTTCCGCTTTGATAGTCGATGGGTTTCTTACCCGGAAGCTAGATTAATCATTCATTATTACTAGAATTTGCATGTGCTCGATTCTCCAATGTATCGCTTGCATGTTAAGCTCAAACGCACTCGTCATGCTCTTTTCCTGTGGTCGATGGGGGGCTTCTCAAACTCGCGGCGACGGATAAATGATTTAACTCAGGCACTTCGACAGCAGCATTCTTTGTCGGTTCGTGATTGGGGTTATATCCATTCTTTGCAAAAGGAACTCACCCACGCTTGGAATCAAGAGGAAGCTTTCTAGCGAGAGCGATCTCGCACTACATGGCTACGATTGGGCGACCGTAACTCTGCCTACTTCCATCGGGTTGCTCAGACTAGTCGATCAAAGAATTTTGTGTCCTCATTATGGCAAGCCTCGGGGCAGGTTGTCACCGATGTAGTTGACAAGGGTTTGGAGTCTGTCTCGCATTTCACCACATTATTCAATTCAGAGGGCTCGCCAACTGGTATAACAGCAGCTTTGGACTCTTTGCAGTTCGATGGAAGGGTAAATCCTTCTATGAATTCGTCACTCCTAGCGCCAGTGACTTCCTCTATTATTAAGAATATGGTGTTCCAAATCGGCTCCTCCAAAGCTCCAGGATCGGATGGGTTCACCACCCTGTTCTTTCAACACTATTGGGATGTTGTTGGTCATGATGTTTGCGTTGCAGTGCAATTGTTTTTTCATTCTGGTCATCTATTGCGAGCTTTCAATCATACTTGGTTGACACTCATACCCAAAGTTCCGAATGTCGAGTCGTGTGCTCAACTTCGACCAATTGGCCTCTGCCAGGTTTTTTATAAGACTATTTCTAAAATCTTGGCCACCCGTCTCGGCGACATTTTGCCGAAGGTTATTTCTACTTACCAAAATGGTTTCATCAAGGATCGTTTGATTGTGGATAACGTGATCATTAGTCAAGAGGTTATGAATTATCTCTCTAATAAACGTGGTGGTAAGAGCGTTTTATGGCACTCAAACTTGACATGGAAAAGATGTATGATCGCATTGAGTGGCCTTACCTCTTTCGGGTGATGGAGAAATTGGGTTTTGATCCTCGTCTCATTGCTTTGGTTCGTACCTGTCTCTCTACATCGACATTTTCCGTTCTCCTTAACGGCAGCTCTTGTGGCTATTTCCACCCCTCCCGTGGTCTCCGTCAAGGTGACCCTTTATCACCATTGTTGTTTGCTATCTGTACTGAAGGATTCTCGGCTTTGTTGACTCAATCGCTTCAGCGAAGTGACTTGAAAGGCATCCGCTTTAATCATCATTGCCCCATTCTCTCTCACTTATTTTTTCGCTGATGATGCGTTTCTTTTTTTCGAGTTTCTGACCGGGATTGTCTTTCATTAATGGATTTCTTGAGACGGTATGAATATATGAGTGGTCAGCGGGTAAACCTATCTAAATCTGCGGTGGTGTTTTCTAAGAACACACTCCCATCCGAGGCTTCTCATTATGGCGCCTTGTTGAGGGTTGGTGCGATTGGGGATAAGGATAGATACCTTGGGCTGCCATCCTTAATTCATCGTTCTAAAAGAAGTACTTTCCATTTCATTGAGGAGGATGTGTCCAAAAAATTACAAGTATGGAAACGACGATGTTTGTCGCCTGTTGGTCTTGAGACATTGATCAAGTCTGTGGTCTCTGCTTTACCGGTCTATGTTATGTCTTGCTTTTGGCTTCCGAAAGGGTTATGTAATTCTCTCAATCGCATGATTGCTCGGTTTTGATGGGGTCAACAGGGTACAGAACGCCGCCTACCATGGGTCTCTTGGCGAAATTTGCGTCTGTCTAAATCTGAAGGCGGACTTGGCTTCCGTGTTTTTGAAGCTTTTAATCAGGCTCTGCTTTCAAAACAGTGTTGGCGTATTCTGACGGAGCCGGATTCTTTGTTAGCTAAGGTGCTTAAAGTTCGTTATTTCCACCAGACTTCTTTTCTCAATGCTCGGCAGGGTTCTAATTCTTCTTGGGCATGGCAATCTTTGCTACATGGTCGGGACTTGCTTGTCAAAGGCTTGCGGTGGGAAGTTACTTCTGGCACCTCCATTGATGCGATGACAGATCCGTGGGTCCCCTCTTTTTCGTCATTCAAACCTTGTTTGTTATCATCGTCTTCCGCTTCCTCTCTGTTTGTCTCTTACTTTATATCTCCTCTTTCGGGAGCCTGGAATATTCAACGTTTGCGCCAATTCTTTACGAATGACTCGATTTCAGCAATCTTAAACATTCCGCTAGGGCTGACCCCGGGGTTCGACCTTTAAATTTGGCATTATCAATCCAATGGCTTGTTCTCCGTCAAATCTGTTTACCGCCTGGCTATGGACGCAAAACCGCCTCCAAAAACAGCAAACATTTTATCGGCCTCTCCGATGGATCCAAAATTATGGCCGAAATTATGGGGACTGCCACTTTCCCCTAAGCTCAAATTTTTTCTATGGCGTATTATTTTGCGGATTCTATCAGTCCGAGAAGACCTAAATCACCATGGTCTGCAAGTTGGCAACTTATGCCCAATTTGTGAGTCCACAGAAGGTGAATCAGTCGAGCATTTATTTCTTCGATGTCCGGTGGCAGTTACTTTGCGTAATTTGGTAGGGCTCCATTTGCCTCCTAGTCTCCTTCTCACCACCCACCTCTCGTTGTTTTGGCGGCATCTCATATTCACCGCGGATATCTGCTCCATTACATCCTGGGTTCTCTTATTTTGGCAACTTTGGAAAAGTCGCAACAATGTTGTCTTCCTCCTATCGCCTGCCTTCATCGTCAACTACTGTCACACCAGGCCGATCATCAAATTGTCGTCCAACCTCTATTTCTGGCCCATGCACCACCACCTCGACGGCTCTGTGCTCCCCAATTGAGTTCCGGATTTCGGATTGCTGTGAACGGCGCGACATCATCTCCCACTCATGGTGCAGTTGGTATTGTTAACTTTGTTGGCGGTCAGGCTGCTTTTGGATTTGGGTGCGCTCTACCAGGGATAATTGATGCTACTACTGTGAAATTATTGGCGGTCCGTTATGCTTTACTCCTCCTTTCCCGTTGGGGATGGTATGCTCATCCTGTTCAGATCACTAAGATGCACAAGCTGTGTTGGAGCGGTTAGGGTCTAACAATCCTCATGATGTTCGGTGCGGTGCAATATATCGTGAAGTGTTATATCTTCTCACTCGTCTACCTTTAATTTCTTTGGCTTACTCACCTCGAGAAGCGAATCGGGCTGCCCATAACGTGACACGTAATGTCCTACGCTATTCTGATAAGTAATGTATTATTTGATTATTCCTATATGGTCTATCTTGAGTCTTTGTAGGGGTTGTAATTGATGTGGCCCCACACGTCTATCTGGTTAATCCTCAAGGATTTCTATGACAAAAAAAAGTCTACAACAAACGCTTACCGATTTATTATTTTCTCCAAGTCACAATAACTTCAAGTAAATGTAACAAATCCCTAACTATTACTGATGAACCGTAGGAAATTCTGATTAGGCTAATAGTTCCTCTTGAGCAGGAAACGCCAACCAAGTTGGCGAGATTTCGTTAGGATTAGCTGTCTTTGCGTTGGTATGGCATCACACGGAGCACGCATGCTGTTCGCGCGAGTTTGACATTCCTTCCCCTTCTTGCCGCCATTTACTTTGTCCGTTGACCAGGCGATTGATTCCGATTGTATCTCCGGCCAAAAGGGATAGACTTGGATCCAAAGGCGACGACTTTACCTTCCCTTCGGTATGACTTGGGACTTCGATCTCAAGATCACTGGTCTACTGCCAAAATGCACATTCCAACATCTCAAACAGATTCAAGCCTTCCTCATCACAACGTCCCTGGCGCAGAACATTCCGATCTTCTCCAAGTTTCTTCGCAGAAGCACCGAATTCGGCACCATGGGTTACTCGGATGTGATATTCTCCCAATTGGGTGATCATTTTTTGAACGAAACAATCCTTTGGAACGTTATGATCAGGGGCTATGCGTTCAATGGACCCGTCGAGAATGCCCTGTTACTGTTCGGTGAAATGCTTCAGAGAGGAGTAAAGCCACATAACTATACTTACCCGTATGTCATAAGCTCGTGCTGTGAGTATGGTTGGTATAGGGAAGCGGAGATCGTGCATTGTCAGATTGTGAAGTCTGGGTTTGAATCCAACCCTTCCGTTGCCAATTCCCTTTTTAATATGTACTTGAAAATGCCGGCTTCGAAGCAGGAAACGACTGATTCAAAATTAACTAATGCTCGCAAGGTGTTTGATAATATGCTTGTGAGACCTGTAGAAGCCTGCAACCGACTGATAACCGAGTACGGAAACTCGGGGGACATCAAGTCGGCAAGGCGGATGTTTGAGAACATGAAAGAAAGAGACGTTGTCTCCTGGAATTCCATGATATCGGGCTATGCCAAAGCTGGAGAAGTAGCAAACGCAAGGGAATTATTTGACAGTATGCCTGAAAGGAATGTCATCTCCTGGACTAGCATGATCGGAGTGTATGCTGACGCGGGTGATCTAGATACAGCAAGGCAAGTGTTCGACGAAATGCCTCACAGGAATGTGGTGTCATGGAATTCAATGATCTCATGTTACATCCACCACAGCAAATTCGAAGAAACATTATCTCTCTTTCTTCAAATGCAGTCCGAAGGGTTGTTGCCCGATGGCTACACTTTTGTCTCTGCCCTGCTAGCTTGTTCTAAGCTAGGCGACTTGGAATTTGGGAGGTACGTGCACTGCCTAATAAGGGATTGGTCTCAACTACGAGTCATGGTGGGCACTGCCCTTGTAGAAATGTATGCCCAGTGTGGAGACGTGAACAGAAGCTTCTCCATCTTTACCAAGATCGGGAACAAGGACGTGTTCTGCTGGAATGTAATGATCAGGTCGTTAGCCATCCATGGAAGAGCAGAAGATGCCATCAAGTTGTTCTGGTCGATGCAGAAGGCGGGTACAAGGCCAAACGATTTTAGTTTCACAAGCACCTTGTTTGCTTGCAGCCTTGGAGGTTTGCTCGAGGAAGGGCGCAGAATCTTTGCTAGCATGGCCAGAGACTACCAGGTTAGGCCAAAGATTGAACATTACGGTTGTATGGTTGACTTGCTCTGCCGAAACGGTCAAGTTGAGGAGGCACAAGTTTTAGTGAGAAATATGCCTTACGAGCCTGACACTGCTATATTGGGAGCTCTGCTTGCGGGTTGCAAAGTGAGGGGCGATGTCAAGTCTGCAGAGACTGTGGGGAAGAGAGCTATGGAGTCTACAGCAGAAGAGTCAGGAGTTTATGCACTTTTATCAAGTATACATGCCGATGCAGGTCAGTGGCCTGAGGTTCAAGAAGCAAGAGAGAAGATGGACGAAATGAAGATTCATAAGAAAACTGGTATAAGTAATTATCATGCAGAGGCCTGTTAGCTTAGAGGGACCTGCAATTTGTTCGAGCTTGCAATAAGCAAAGAGGATCTTAATCAATCTATTTGTGTTTTGTCTCACATGTAGACAAATATCCACTTAGTAAGAAACCATTCACTGCGGATTGGTGGCTCTTATTTCTTGAATGCAGGAGAATAGATAATCAATCACCATGGATGTCCTCCACGTTAACAGCCCTGACGAATATATAGCGACCTTCTTCAGATCGAGTATTAGAGACTCCTGCTGAGAACATTTTGTCATCGATAACAAGATTCACCCATCGCCATTGGCCATACAAAGCCGTCAGGAAACCTGGCACCAGCGCTGTATCAGGAGTGATTTCATCATCGTAGTATACACTGGGGATCCTGCAACTGAACATATTCGGATCATGGCAGACGTACCACTGGTTGTCCCCTATGACTACGATGACATGACCTTGAGACCAAGGAGCCAAAGGCTCATCACCAGCATAGGCTTTGTCGAAAGGTGTTTTGATGGGTTCAGGAACTAGTGAGGAGAGATTCACACAGGATGTTAGCTCGAGAGATGGAAGAAAATGAAGATTCATTAGACAACCAGTACAAGTTCGACTAATTATCACGTAGGATGTTAGCTCAAGAGGGCATTTGTATATGAACGTCTCAGCAAAAGGTAACGAAACAATTTCTTCATAGAAGATAAATAACATCCTAATGGAGTGTCCCATTGGATAGTACATCTACAGAAATTTCTAAGAGATATAGGTCTGGAGGTTTTGATTCTAAGGTCAGCATAGGCAGCTTAAGAACTACAATACAACTAATTAGTTCTCTAAAATAAGCCTTACTAAACATGTGCGCACTAATTAACCCAATACATTAGTTAAACCTTAAAAATAACCAATAGACAAATTCCAACAGGGCACACAACATGAACAGATCAAAGAGTACAACATTCAATCAAACTTCTGAAGTCTGTCAACAAAAAGTATCATCATCCATCAAGGTGTCGGCTCGTCAGATACAATAACTAGTCTTGACGCTCTTTCAGTTTCGGGCAGCTAAGACGTCAATCCTTGAAATGGCAGGCATAATTCAAGTGCTAATCATGTTGAACCGGAATCTTGAAAGTTGTTGAGGGATGGTTGATATCACAGGACCATATCTCTGCCACCAAAGCGAGATGTTGTTAATATGACATAAGTGGAAACTAGATTTCTTGCTACTTCCACTCTTAAACTATTGTAGACATGGGGAGGATTGCATTACCTGCACATTGTCATACAGTTCGAACAATGGAACAACGAGAAGTTTCAAATTTTTGGGGACTGCAAAGTACTCTCTTTCAGACAAGTGAACAAGAAAGAGCTTCTTACATTCCTGCAATACCAACCATAGGAAATATGAAACATAAGTACAATGCATGTGATTATTGTGATAGTTATACCCAAAAATATGAAATGAAAACTTTAGACAAGTAGTCCACAAACCTTGGGCTTTGTTATGTGAGGAGGGCAATATGGATACATTATGGTTTCAAAGTTTGGCCTCCACCAGATAGCCACACACTCACCAATCTGCAAGTTTCCAGGGGAAATGAGCAATCATAAGAAAAAATAAAATCAAGAGTGCTAAGAGAATGCATAGGCGAAATGCTGCATCCTACTCTTCTGTTACATTTATCTAGTTGTCTTTGCAAGTTCAGTGCAGCGTTGTAGAAAACAATGTATACGCATCTTTGTTTGTTCACCACCTGCTTCAAGTGTATTAATCTTGTCTTCATCCCCAAAAAAAATCAGTAAAAATCAAGCACCTATCATAATTTTTGAATTTAACAGGAAAAGTACCTGCCAATCTGGAACAAGAGCAGGTGAATTAGCTCCAAGCTTGCTCGTCAATTTCCTCTTCAAACCTTCAATTTCTGTTACAGAAGTCCAAGAAGAGTCAAGTGCACGATTCTATTAGCTTTGCATCAGTATATATTGTAGCACAATCCGTAACAAATGAATGTATGAACATTCTAACAGAATGAGCAGAAAATATACCATTTTCCCCTGGCTTCAAACGTCCGCCTGGAAGTTTGCAGAAGGTGTTTCCAATTTGCAGAAGAAGTATGTGCGGATGATTGTGTTCTTGTACCTGCAAGATAATTGAACATTGTTTTACTAGACAGTAGACACATATGGGCTTCAGCATGAGAAGTCAAGCAATGTCTGGAATGCACATCTTCTGAATATTATTCAACTCAAACAGGGCAAGCAAACCAAAAATGAGGGGAATGATTAGTGGCGAACTAAAAGATAAGACATCCTGAAAGTTGAGATTCTAGGAGAAAGAGCAAAAACCAACTAATACAACTAAATCATTTTCTCCAAATTGATGTATCACGCACATCAAAATCAGCATATGCAGAACAACAATTACCAGTAGTCGGAGACTGATTCATGGTCTCCATGTGCCTTACATTGAAACCAAAAGCTAAAATTGGGAAATTTTGATAGGATAAAGAGGGGGAAAGAAAAATGATTGTGATGGTATAGGTACAAACAGTGAACTAAGGTTTTTTATGGCTACAAGCTTAGTGAACTCTAATTACAAGACGAAATGGTTCCACAATCTTCCACAATCAGAACGGCTGACTCTAATTACAAGTAGTAAATGCTCCACAATCAGTAAGGTTAACTCTTGTTACAAGAAGTAATAGCTCCACAATTATTAAGGTTAAATCTGGTTACAAGAAGTAATAGCTCCACAATCAGTAAGGCCTCAAAGGTTTCGCATATTGCCAAGTGCCAATACCAGAAGAATAGCTTCAACACTTGTCCTCATCCCTTCTTTCATATAGCTGCGAGGAAACAAAAATCGGGCTCAATAATGAATTCTAGCACACTTTACACAAAATTCAAAAGAAGAGAAGAATCTGGCAGCCTTCAGGCCAGGTCAAGCTAGATGTCACTCTCCCTTATCCTTCATTTAGAAAGTAAATTTCAGGGCCAAGAGAAAATGCACCGAGAAAAGACAAAGCCTTTACACTTTTGAGTTTCGACGTTACTTTCTCGCAAATATAATGAAAATATGAACTTCCATCTTAAACCAAAACCCTAGAATTCCCAGATCTTAGATCCCAAACCAATCCTAAGGGCAGCACAAATTCATATCAACACCAACTCAACCAAAAGTACAAACACAAGAGACACACCCGCTTCAATCACACGAACTTCTTGTTCCTCCTACGATTCCAAACATCTCTCGTCATACAACTGAGAGGTTTATTTGGAGTTTCCAAGTTCGCCCCCCGGAAAGACAAAAATCGAACTACCAAAATCCAATGAAAAACGGAACCCAAATCGGCATAAAGGAAAATATAGAGACGGAGCTCACTTGACTTTCATGCGGGCGAGGCGATCAGCGACGGAGGTGTCCTTCTCCATCTTGGGCTCTTTGGTGCCGAACGTGTAGCTCGACAGAGGGTACGTATTCACCACCGGAGAGCTCACCATCTTCGATTTCGCCGAAAGACTGTTTCCCTGGTTCTGAGAATTAGGGTTTCCCTTTATTTTCCCGCTCTGTAGAATAGAACGGATCCTTCACCCTCAGTCCAGAAAGCTCGCGCGGCAGCGGAAAATTGAAGATTCGGCTCGAGCCAATTCGCGGCTTGGGTACTCCGACAGTCAACTACTCCTGTTTCGGGAGTCGGGAATCGGGACTCGTACAAGAAAGGGTGACCATCGGATGGGTGTTAGGGTGGTGCTACCTATGCTAGATCGACGGATGAGACCAGTTTGGATGTGGTGCTCATGGCCCACGTTCGAACCAATCTCAATTCTCAATCCTTCCTCCTCCGCTATTATTATGGACCTTAAGCCCAAAACAATGGGTTCTTCCCTATCATACAAAGCCTGGCCCGACTGATTTCTTATGGCTTATCAAGTTTCGAAATGCCTCCAGTCAGGTGCAAGATTACCAAACTTTGTGATTTTGTGGAAGAATGGATTTTATTTAAAAGAAGAAGAAAAAATTTCACAGAGGGTTCAATTTCTTCTTAATCAACAAGGTAAACCTGTAGACCTACTTCCCAAGCTCGATTCAAGCTCACAAAGTGAATCGAGCTACTGAAGAAGACCTAAAAATCAAAGACCCAATACAGAAGGCTATACCATGCTTAATCTCTTTGTAACCGTCAGTTAGATCAACAGAGATCAATGATTTAAATAGTAGATGAGGATTGAAAGGTTTGTTGCATATCTTGCTGCAATCATGAATCTTCAACGTTATTGTCTGACTATCTTTGTAGAGGGCGACACATTTGGAGCGGAACGAGGAAAAGGATGGAGCGCCTGAGATTTGAGATGATCTGAGAAGATTGAGCTTCGACCAGACTTGGAAGAACGATCCAAGTTTGGAGTATGTCGTATTGAAGAGACGGTGTCATATGCATCATGTGTAGAACGTCGTCGTGTGAGTCTTTCAGCAAACGACGTCATGGTCATATGTCAACAATTTCCCCCTTCGTTCGACAAGTATGCAAAAGAAGAAGAAAAAACAGGACCAATAGTACTCGAAAACAACAGAAGATTTCATTCATTAAAACAAAATACAAAAGAGACCAGTGGAGGGAAAGTCCCCCCTGAGGCAATGCACGTTCACATGAAGAGCGGCAATACAAAAGTTCTACTGCTGAAGAGACATAAACACCTAGAAGATGCAAGTTCACATATGGAACTGCAGTACAAATGAATAAGAACCTAAAACTGGACCCTTAGTAAGGAGCAGAAGCAGCAGAATCATCTAAGGAAGAAGTTCCTTCAGAGATTGTGAAAATCATACCATCATATTTGCTGGTTTCACCAAGAGGCTTAGAATTCTTCGCACGAGGTGCAGCCTTGGGGTGAGAACCAAGAAGAGATGATGGCGAGGAGGAGGAGGAATCTCAACAGGGAGGTTCAGAACCATGAGAACATTGAGAGCACTGACATACAAAGTGGAGGAAACACTACGAAAATCAGAAAGATCGACCTCAAGCCTTATCAGGAGTCGTGTGATGATGGAGCCAAAGGGGAGAAGCCCTTGAAAGTGTTCATCACCCACAGGAAGAAAAGCTCCAAAGATAATCTGGGTAAAGTCCAGTTTTCGGCCAGCAGTGGCAGATGAGATGATCTAGAGATTCATAGGAAGAACTCACTCAAGGTTAAAGGAACGAGGAAGAAGAACTCTGGTAAGGAAAAATGAAAAAACGCAGTCTTGGAGGTAACCAGCTGACAGGGATAGGGACATCAGATCCTCTAGTAGGCTTATTTGAGAAGTTGCCATACTTGGTGGTAAGCTTAAACTCCTGCTTCCAGAATATTGAAGGGTGAATGATGTCGAGTCCCGCAGAAGAGAGACCGAGAATACCACCCAAAGGAGCAAGTAGAATGGTCAGCAGATGACCATGCACTACTACAGTAAAGCTTCTGGAGCTTATTCCTTCATAGCGAAGATTAGAGTAAAATAGCTTAACAGCTCCAAGACAAACAGGACGAAAAGGTTGACGAAAAAGAAACTCCCTCCCAAGACCTTCGATGAGGGACATGATATCGAATTTGTAGAGGTTAAATTCGTAGGTATCCAGTTGGGTGACATGGTGGAGACTTCTATTTTCAAAATACTAAAGGTGGTGATGGTGGTTGATAACCACTAGATCATGAAACATGTAACCAAGGTAAGTGTGAACAAGGCCATCAAAATGAAAAGGTCTAGGCAGATAATCACTCGCGATGTTGATGAGCACAAGATGGATGGGTAGAGAGTGAGGAAATGGAGAAGATGATGTCTCGTTAAATAATAAATAGAGAAATAAGAGAGAGAGAGAGAGAGAGGAACTGAAGGGGTGCAGCAGACATAGAATGAGAATTTGACCACTAAGAGAAGAGTTTTCTGAGAAAGGTCTTGGAAAACAGCAAGCATGATTAGAAAGGTAAAATTTTCCAGCTCGAGGCAGATGATAAGCCTAGAGCAGGATTGCCCCAACATATCTTTATTTTGTTAGATTTGAAATTTGGTTGAATGATTTCAAACCGATTTATGTGCATAGCTGTAGAAACCTTTCACTGGAGTCTGGAGAGAGGTTTAGTAAAAAGGTTAGCTAGCTGAAAATCTGTTGGCACAAATTGTAAGCAAACATGACCTGTTTGAACAAGGTCTCTAATAAAGTGATATTTTATTTCGATATGTTTTGTCCTAGAATGTTGTACTAGATTTTTCTCCATACATATGGTACTAGTGTTATTACAACAAACAAGGATGTTCTTAAGAATGAAACTGTAATCCGAAAACTGAGCTTTCATCCACAAGAGTTGAGCACAACAGCTACCAGCAACCATATACTTGGCTTCAGCTGTAGAGAGTGTAACTGCTCCTTGTTTCTTGCTAAACCATGAAACAAGTGCAAGTCCTAAGAATTGTATTGTTCCAGAGGTACATTTCCTATCAACTAGACTTCCTCCAAAATCCGAATCACTATATCCTATTAACTCAAAAGATTCAGTTAATGGATACCTTAAACCTACATCAGTGGTTCTTTTTACATATCTAAATATTCTTTTTACGGCGTTGAAATGACTTTTCTCTGGATTAGATTGAAATCTTGCACACAGTCCAACACTAAATTGTATATCAGGGCGGCTAGCTGCTAGATAAAGTAGCGAGTCTATCATCCCTCTGTATTTCTTTTCACAGAAAGCAGCCCCACTTTCATCCATATCTAGCTTGAGATTAGTGATCATAGGAGTTAGACTAGAGCTAACTGATTGCATATAAAATTTCTTAAGCATAGAATCAATGTATTTAGTTTGTGAAATGAAAATTTCATAATTAGTTTGTTTTATTTGAAGCTCAAGGAAGTATGAAAGTTCATCCATCATATTCATTTCAAACTCAGATTTCATGGTTTCACAAAACTTAGTACACATAGAAGGATTAGTTGAACCAAAGAGTATGTCATCTACGTAAACTTGTACTAGCAATATATCAGAATTGCACCTTTTGATAAACAAGGTTTTATCGACACTTCCTTGAGAGAAGTTTTCATTTTTCAAAAAAGGAGGACAGTTTTTCAAACCAAGCTCTAGGAGCTTGCTTTAGTCCATATAAAGCTTTTGACAGTTTGTAAACATGATTAGGATATTGATGATCAATGAATCCTGGAGGTTGACTAACATACACCTCTTCCTTAATATCACCATTAAGAAAAGCACGTTTGGCATCCATTTGAAATAGAGGAATTTTCATATGACAGACATAAGCACACAACAATCTTATGGATTCAATTCTAGCCACAGGGGCAAATGTTTCACCAATTCAATTCCTTCTTCTTAGGAATATCCTTGTGCAACTAGTCTAGCCTTATTTTTTAGTGATTGTACATTTGATGAAGTTCTTCTTTACGCTGAAACCAATACTGTGTGCATATGTTTTATAAAATTCATAAGCACTATCATCACAATCAAACTTCATGCCTATACGTGGCACTTTATAATTTGCACTCATCCCTTGTACCTAGAAAGACACATAATATAGTTCAAATCAAAATTATAAAAATAAAAGAAATAATTGTGTTATAGAACAAAAAAGTAGTTTTTCCAAAATACTAGATTAGACCAAAACTTATATAAATCTCTAATAAAGTAAAGAAGATAGTTACGTATGATTATTCAACTAAACAGTTAAACGAAACAAGAACAATTTGCACGTTCACTAAAAATACATCTCTAAGTCTTTCTTCAACTATTTTTTACTAAGATAAATTAACTAATAACTTGGCTACAAATATATGTAGTATGATTGGTTACAACTATAGGTGTCAATCGGGCGGGTTCGGGCTGGGTTCAATCGGGATTGGGTTCAATCGGGTTGTGGGTTAGCCGGGTTGCGGGTTCATCGGGTTCGGGTTCAATCGGGTTCGGGTTAGTTGGGTTGCGGGTTAGTCGGGTTGCGGGTTCATCGGGTTCGGGTTCACTCGGGTTGCGGGCAAATCGGGTTTCGAGTTCATCAGGTTTTGGTCCCAGCGGGTTGCAGGCGGATCGGGTTGCGGGTTGTTCGGGTCAGCGCATCGAATTACTTACTTCTTACTCGTTACCAACTTACACATTTTATTACACTAATTTAAAAAAATCATAATTTTTAACCAATTTCTTTCTACCTCATATATATACTTAAATTAGAAAAAACTAGTCAAAATGTTGAATCAATTTGTATAACTTGCAAATTTATTCATATGAGATCGAGCTTATTGAAATGTTAGTGCGTCGAATTGGGGGGGAGTTTTCCCACCTTAGATTTTCATCTTGGTAGAGAAAAATTGTGGAGGTAAAGCAAATTAAGAAGAACGAAAAGTGGGGAGAGAAACATTGAGAAATTGAAAAGTTGGGATGAAAATATCAAAATGAGGAGAGAAGTTTCCCACCTAAATGAAAATATGGTGGGAGAATCGCAAGTGAGATTAAATTTTCTTACAAGGTACTTGATAATATTTTGGTAAAAGTAGAAATAACGATTATTTTGAACAAGAGATTAAGAAATTTTATCGAGTTACTTACTGCTTACTCATTACCAACTTACACATTTTATTACACTAATTTAAAATATTTATCATAATTTTAATCAATTTCTTTCTACCTCGTACATATACTTAAATTTTTTTAAAAAAAACTAGAATGTTGAA